GAAGGCTCCACGGCCAAAACGTTGTGTTCTCTTTCTTCTTTTTTTCAGCATGGATTAAACCTATTACTTGTTCCTTTGCAGTAATATATTAAGCCTGCTATAGTAAAAGATGGCACAGCTTAGGCATGATATGGCTGTTGTGTAACCTTGTAAATCATTTGAATGAGAGGAAGTGAAGATTACCTGTGACCTTGTATGACATCTCCCTGTAGTGTGTGAGATCCTCCCCACTGATTAGAACCAGCTGGGGACACTTCTCTTTGGCATCTGTTACAAACATCAGCTTGTTCACACCACACTCTCTGGCCACATAGTTACTTGTGACGACAATATTCTTCTGTTGGATGCCTAAATACAAGAGAAACGTTACATAGCAAATACCAGCAATTTCCACCTTGCTCACTAGTATTCTTTCGGCAAACCCAGAGTCACATCTCAAATACCTAACGGGCAGCTGTGGTACTGTAGGCTAAGTTAACTGTAACTGTTTGAAGCCCAACCCAGTGATGGGTCAGCTCTTTGGAAAGCAATGCTGCCAACATCAAACACTGTCCGCACTTGAAATAGCAATGTCGATCCCAGCCTGAGTCCAAGTTCAAAGTGTGTGTTCACTACTTTCGTCTCGCAAGAACCCTAGAGTGTCGTATCCAATACATGCGTAGCACACCAATGGTTACGCATTTTTGAAAGGGCACCATTTCAGGGTCAAAATTTAAGCACATGAAGAAAAAATGAAGACACTGAAATGACATTTCTACATGACAAACTGAGTTGTACCCCGAGATGCAAAACTTGCCAATTGTTTCATCATTTAAGACCAAGACAAGAGATTTAGTTTACATGTCTTGCTGGCTTTCCAATATAGCTCTGTTTGCCAAAACCTGCTGAAGTCGTCTGAAAGGTTTAATCAGCCTTTCAAAATCACATGATGAAACAACTGCACATGATGCAAGACTCCAGCTGATATGGTGAAAGTCTTACAGCTCCTCTCAAGGAGTACCACCTTACCACAAGAGAAGATTTTTTTTTTCCTCTCCACCTTCAGCACCCTGAGAGTAAATTGGCAATGAACGTGGACTGTTAGGTCAGGGAAGTTTTCTAGCTCCATCTCAATCAAGTTTAATCAATCTTTATTTTTTGTAGCCCTTCTTGGTAAACATTATCTTAACCTAAAACCTGTTGTATCCTCCTAGCCATAACAGGGGAACGACAGAGTGGTTGAACAATAATAAGACATTTTTTAAAAATGTTTACTCTCTTCTTCCACAGCACTTTGACACAAAAAGCAACATTTTCACCTTTTTAAAAATCTGATTATTAATTACCTAAAGGCTTGTGTCGTAGCTCTGGATTACGGATCATTTCTACTTGAGCATAGAAACAGTCCAGATCAAAATGAAGAATGACCCTCCGGTGACGCTGCCCTACAGGAAACCACCTTTCCTGGGCTCCTGAAACACATAATGGAAAATTTTTCTTCGATCCATGTTCAAGTCACAGCAATGAGAATGACGATCGGATCAATTAAAAGAGAAAGACAATTTTAAAGACACTCGTATATTTCTACAGCCTTTAGATTTCTCTAAACCTGCTTTAGAAACAACAAACAAGATTTAAAAAGGTGTTTACTGCAAGCTGTCGTGAAACAAATGCTACATTAAAAATAATAAGCAGCCGGAGGAGAAAGGATTAAAATTAATAATATACAATAAGGGGGTTTGAAAACTGTTTTTACGCAATCCTATTTTCCTGCAATCATTGCATTCCTAAATGCTTTGCTCTTTTTTTTTTTGCCATTGCACTTTAACGGAACATTTCCACTGCTACATGGAAGTAAATATAAAATATCACCTTTAAAACCTTTATAGCTTTCGGATGTGTACCTTTTGAACGCAGGATCTTTGCCGCGGTTTATTCTGAAAAGTATCACGGTGTACACCAAAAACTTTGTGCCTGAGGAATCGGCACAAATCGAGGGCACGTTCACCATCTCTAAAGTTGTTGACTCCGTGCATAGAAAACTTTTAGATGTTTTACTCTTATTCTTGCAAATACTGCATTATTTCGAACGAATGCTAATGTTAAATACAACTGTAAATGGAAAATATTTAAATACAATAAATACAATTCAGTTTTTTATCCACAATAAGCATTCGTCCCATTTCTTATTCTGTTTTATTCTCAAAATAAAGAACCGCAATTTCATGCTCGGAATCTGGGTACAAATGAATACTGTAAAAGGTATTTTCCTCACCTGTACCTGGAAGGATTGAAGAAATAACCCCGCTGGACGTAGTAGAAGAGCCCTGTTCTGCTGGATCCCTACACATCCAATCGTCGTCATCCTCTTCCTCGTCGCAAAATAAGGAATCGTCATCAGGATTCAAGTATTCCATGGCTTTACATTCACTTGGAAATCCAAACGTGAGACGAACTTGAGTACGTCTCTGCACTCAAGCATCTGCTTCCCTCATTAACATTACACTCAAATTGCGGACAACCATAACATTGCCCAGAAAACGGGACTAGTAGTATTCGATGGGATAACACCCTGTGTCTGGTTAAAAACAATTTCCAGTTTTAAGAAGCTGTTTTGAATTTATGATACATGTATAGTTATTTTAACCAATCTCTTTGTGAAAGACAAGCAGGGAAAATCATTATTGCTTTTTATTAATGTATCTAAGCCGCTCCCCGGCTTGCGTTAAATTTAAAGACAATTAAGGCCCAACGGAATCTTACAAATCGTAAAGAAACAAGCAACAAGACTTAAACTTGAAAAAAAAAAAATCAAAACACCACTACGTATCGTGTATTTAGCCCTGGCTCTTGTAGTACTGCTTCTGATGAATCACAGTCGGCCTCTGCCACACGAGTGGACTAGAAACAGTGACCCAAGTAAATAAAACATCAGCAGCATTTAAAACACTAAATTACATCACGATATGAAAGATCTATAAAATCTCATGAAAAGGCGAAATCATTTGGGGGGTGTAACAATTCACAACAGTTTTAATAATTAAGAACTTCGAGGGAAGCCTATGAGAGGCCTAGCTCTGGAGAGGCGGAGCTGCGCCGAGCCAGTGCGGTTGCCAGGCGCTGTGAGTCTGTGGGAAGTGCTGAAATTTCAGAGCGTCACGCCGCTGAGCGCTGGAGGTGCCTCTGCTGAGAGTGCTTGCTAATCGGGAGTTACAATACCTAGGGCAAGCCAGACAGGAACCCTGGGCGTAATTCGTGGGAGGTCAACGTTTCAGAAGTTAGGCTGTATCGGTTTTTTGTAACTTTCATTTCACTCTTCGCATGTTTTTTCCGCGCCCCGTGTTCCGTCGGAGTTGTGTCGCCAACTCTCTCCTGTTTTAACAAGCGCTGGCTTGGGTGATACCCTTTTTAAGTGTACTAAATGATCATGGAGAGGAAGAGGATGGACTGCCCGGCTCTGCCACCGGGTTGGAAGAAAGAAGAAGTGATCCGGAAGTCGGGGCTTAGCGCTGGCAAGAGCGATGTCTACTACTACAGGTAAATCTGCCAGTGGCATTAGCCGTGCCCAGGTAGACGAGTTCCCTCATTTTTAACTTTGGGGCATCTTATTTCTCTTAATGTCAGACTCGGAGATAAAAGAGAAAACGCTGAAGCTGTACAGCCCCAAGTGTCACCGAACCCAGCTAGTGTTCTCGGTCCTTCCCTTACGTGACTGGATGTACCGCAGACGCCTGCTACAGTTTTAAAATAACACGATTTACTGTCTTTACTGCCAACCACCCCATACAGTGCAGGACGTATTCATTATCTCTCATTTACGGGCTCGCCGGTGTCCCGCGAACTTCATAAACTGTGCTGAAGTGGATGAGGTTGCTGCTGTCTTATTTAGCTACGTAACAACTTTGGCTTATCGTCAGCAGCTGCAACCTTGTTGCCCCTGTACAGAAAACGAAGTATTCCTGGAACTCCGCTCTTCTGCTATTACTGTAACTAAGAGGCTTAACTCTGTGCTTTGGACAGTGGCTGAAGGATTGCTCGGTCAAACGTTTATGCTGGGTTAACTGTTCTTGGAGGAAGGTGATGGGGAGGGGAAGCATAACATACGTATACACATACAATTCTTATTTGCCACGAAGTAACTTTTTAAATGTATCTTGTGTACTGTTATTGAATAGACATATGCGTGTTCTCTTGGCTTCCTGACAGTACACCTCACTATCGTGTGCTTTTGGTTACTTTATGACAGGCTTTCAATTTATATGCACAGACGTTCGCTTGGTAGCCTGGTAGCCCAGTCTCTTAAGCAGAAGGTTGACAGCCTTTCTGTCCTTACATAATATGCTTGCCCAAAATTCTCAATTAAAAGTAGTTAAGAGGCCCTGTGTTCACCATTATTTGCCTGTTGTTGAAGTGATGGCTTTTGTGCCTCTGCCCCCTTTTCATCACCGGTCTTAAAAAGTGAGTTTTCAACTGTCCAGCTGTACTTTGCCACTCCGCAGAACATGAGACCAAATAGGTTGTCTTACAAGAGTCGATTTGGACAGCCCAGTGTCTTTGGTTGCTCATCTACTTTCTTGTACAGTATTCCTGGTAAACTTTGATTTGTTCCTAACTTGACACTGTCTGGCAGACATGTATACATTATCACACTTCAGTAATGCTGTGTTTTAAAATCTCATGCATTTAGCAATACACCTTATATCATGCTAGATATATTCAATAAAAAAAGTGGGAGTGCACTCTGCAGGTCAGTGGACTTCACATCTGCCATGCTCCGAGTTAAGATGATATAATTGTAAAGAATTATTTTCAAAGCAGCACAAGGTGGAGTTGGTCTTAATGTTAGTTTTTATTCTGAGTACCACTATTTTAAATTATATGATGCATCCAGTGCTGTCTGAAATAAATTAGATGACGCTTAAGGGGCACAGACTATTTCGTATGATGTGCTCTTGACTGAAGCTGAAATCAAAGTGCTCACATGCATTCAGGATATAGGTTTTATCTTTATTCTAATTGTTTCATTTCATTAACTGAATAAAATTGTCTTGGAACTGGTCTCAGAACTTTTAAATGTTTCTTAATGTACTGTTACTCTGTTCTGTCCTTCCAGTTATGCCATATTCATCATTGGAGTTACTTTAGAAGGTGTGTATTTTAAATTGGGGCTGTTTTTCTTGTTTTGGTACTAGCTTTTTTTTAAATAAAACTTTATCTTGAATTGCATTTTAAGACTAAAATACACAGTTCAAGGATTGCTTGTGTTTTACTTGAGGAACACAATATTTAGGACCCAGATGTGATTAACACTCTAGCAGTCCGCAGTTGAAGGTGTTGAAAATTTGAATAGCGTTTTGCCGATAATGTAAGTTTTACCATCCTACAGTTCTGTGGAGTATAATCCCGTTGATGATAAACTTTGTTAGCCCAAGGCCTTAATAGGCATTTTTAATTTGCAGTTACATTTTTTATTTGACTGACTCTTTTATCCAAAGCAATTTACCTCTGCACCCATTTATCCAGCTGGGTATAATACACCAGATCTGGCTATAAAACAGAGTGGCATGCTAAACAAAGAGGTTTTTCTTCCACACTAGAAATTATTTTTTTCACAGTTCTAAAGTAGCCTTTCTACATAACTGTAAATTATTCTTCTGCTCTAAAGTATGAATGTAAACTTTTCTCTCGTTGGAAGATATACTAGCTTTTAAGTTTAACAGTAATAGTTGTAAAGCAAATTAATAATATTGACTATGAGCCTTTGCAAATTGTATACTCCTGATCAATGATCATTCCCATTTATGAGTTCTCTAAGCCAAAGTCCATATTTGTAAATCATCTAAGAAATCATTTGAGACTTTTGCGACATGATTATCTATGGAATCAAATACAAGGGAAAACTTTGTAGCATGTAGTGACGAAAATATTTGTCCTTGTGGTTAGCACTTTTCATAATTTAAAAACAAACCACAGGACACAGGAAAATATATATTTTTTCCATTTGGTTAACTGTTTTGTATTGTTATATTTACTTGAAAATTTCTGTAATGTTGTGGTCCAGAGATTCGTTTTTTTTTTTCAGGCAGGCTGATATGCGTCACATTCCAGGTGTGCTCTTAAGCAGGTGTTAAGACATTTAAGGTTTTGTTTTTAAATCTTGCGTATTTGTGTGTGTTCCATATTAAGAAATCTTTAGGGTGTGATGTCATTTGGGGTGCATTGCTCATTTTAACATCATTTTGTTCATGCAGTAGACACTTAGTGGCCTTTTTGACGAAATTACTTTTATTTACAAAACTATTCACCTGTAGTACCAAACTCTAAAGTATGCAAATCCATGTTTCGGAATATCCAGTGAAAAAGAGTGAATAATTCTTTAAGCTCTTAATTTTTATTTTTTAATCGCCAGGCTGGAAAATAAGCAAAACTTTCTTTTTGACTGTCTAACGGTTTCATATATCAATATTTCCATTTAAACCCAGATCAGTCTGGGGTGAAATAGCCTTGAATTAGCTCTCAGTTTCATTTTAGGTCTTCATTGTAGAGAAAGGGTCTTCTTTGAAGTGTCTTTTAAGAAAACCGAAAGCCCACCTTCTATTGTTTGAATGCCAGGCGCTTATGTTTTTGACTGTGATTGTCGTTCTCTCTGTCGTCCGTGCCCTTGCCCTGGGACAGTGGGCTGTGCTTTCAGCTCTGTGAAAATTGCTTTCATTATTATTCAAATACCAAGTTCACAGAATGCGGGAAGTGCTGTTATGTGCAGATCTGTGTGATAGTGAGGGCTAGGCTGAGGTGCAGACTCACTGGTGTGTATTTTTGGTGTCTGTTCACATCCTGTGTTCAGCTTGCTGTTTTGTGCTGCTTTCATGACAAAACAAGAAAGGATTTGAAACACATTTCTAATTTCACCTATATCGTACTTCAGTGCTTTGGCAGTGGTGTTTCCCAGATAAATGTTCAAGGGGCTTTTAAAGCCACAGTTTACTCATTACTCAGTTCTTCAGACATTTGCATTCTCAAGACTGCAGGATTGTGCTTTGATTATGCCAGAATGTTGGTGATGGCAGTTGAATAAAATCAGATGCGATACCACCAGGGTGTTAAGTGTAATCCTGTTCCTGAAGAATGTGTTCGTCTAGCTTGTTTCCAATTTTGTCCGAAATGACCACAAAATACCGGGAGACTCTGTTGCACGTCTTAATTGCAGACCAATTTATTTCCTCATCTGTTGTCAGATTTGAAAAAAATATTTTAAAGGACAGTTTTGAGGCACTCATATTTGATATCTCCTGTAGTTTTAAGGTTAGTTATTTAGTCCCCCACCCCGAACAAAACTATGATTAGATACGGGGGAGGGGTGCTTAGTTTGTTTAAGGTGCTCCTATGGGGAAGCCCTGTAAAATGATCCTGTGCCAGTACTTTCCCCCATTTCTTTTGGGAACTATTGTAAATAACAGGAGGCCAGGCTAGGCTGGGAATCTCTGACCACATGACGTTGACTTTTCACACTGCGGATCAGATTAAGCTGGACAAGCCCATTTCCTGGCTGGTTTCTCCTTGTTTTTTATCCACTTGCTGTAACCGATCCAAGGCCGTTCCTTCCGTTTCAAAGTGATGCATGTGCTTTCCGCTGGAGACTGTGGAAAACCGTCTGCTTCATCAACACGCCATTTGCGTGAATTCAAAATGACCACCCTGGCTTTCCAAAGGCTGGTCGTCTGCTTCCGTGACATGACTCATCAGTGTGACTGAATCTGACTGCAAGTGTTCCAGGTCAAAATGGTGAACTCGTATGTACATGCAGAGCTGCTTTGCACTGAGTCTTTTCTCATAGGTCCCCAATGTTACTTCCTTATACAACCCAAATAGACTATATTTTGGAATCAATTGCCTAAAAGACTTCTTTGGGAAACGGGATCCCATGTTGTACTGAAAGAGCGCTGCTGCTTTCGGTTATGCCTTATTTGTCATACCACTTCAAGGCCAGATGGGGCAAAAGGGTTCTGTTTTAATGGAACTTGTTCCATTTTAGTTGGTGACTTGTGTGCTGCAAACTCAGCAGGAGGACGATCCATTGGTACTAGCGTTGTGTAAAATATTTTTAATGGATTCTGATATGACATTTCCCTGCACATCTCCTGTTACAAGGCAGTGTATGTTTATTACATTAAAAGAATGCAGTTCTTGTCCTTTTCAAGTCTTGGTTATCATACATGGTCACTGGCTAGATGTGGGAATTTTTGAAGCCTCGCTTTAGGATACATCTACTTTTATCCCTCAAATTCTTAAATACAGATGTTCTTTTTCCTTATACTGACTTCAATAGTATGTGCTCAAGTACCCTGTATAGCCTAGTTAGACACTGAGGCACAGGCTAAATCCCAGATTTCAAATGTGGGGCTTGATGGCAGTGTTCTGTTTTCCAGAGTTTTCTGTCTCTAACCAGTGGAAAACTGGACTCCTGCTGGGACAGGCAGACTGAGCAAATGGTTTTGATTTAAGCTAAACCCTGCTTTGTTCCCCTTAAATTAATTGGA